TACTTTCTTTGTGGAATATATGAAGATATGTACATATAGATTAGGTACATAAACCAACTCTATTCAATTACTTTGTTCGTTATTTCTGAGAAACTTAGTAGGTATTTCACTTCTCCTTAAATCTTAGTAATATACAAATAAACTCTTTGTCAGATGAATTTCTTAGAATTTTTCGCATTTTCTACAGTGGTCAATTTTTTAAGGTCAATAGTTCAGTTTTTAGTCTACTTTGATTAAACCATGTATCTCCTTATTCTACTTTCTGCTTATTGAATAATACTCTAAATAAAGTTTCAACTAAACAAGTTTATAATCAAAAAGGAGTTTTGTGGATATTATAGTAATTTAATAGTTGAATTCATAAATCCATTGGAGCTAAACCATCATAGAAAACCTGGAAGTACTGGACTACCGTTTCGTCCGAGTATGGGACTCCTCAGTAGCACGCATTCATTATCTCGCTTCTCGAGATTCAAACAAAGAACCTATAGGTCTTGCACGCGAACGCTTAACCTCTAGACCATTAAGCCGCTGTCCAAGTTTAATTAGAACCAAACGTCATTTATAAGCATAAGAATATTTAGTAAAAATAATTAATTACCATCTTTAAATACAACAGATATTTTGTTACAAGCTGTGAAGAATATTATTTATGTTAATGAATATTTAATTAACATTAACATATTGTTACACCGTTTTTAATTAATTTCAAGTAGGTAACTTGAATTTGTTTGAATGCATTGAAATAGTTTGATTTGAAATACTTGAATGACTACTTATGTAATTATGTTATTCTTATTCTTATTATTACTTTAAAATTGTGTAAGATATTTATAAAATTGGTCATTTATAAACCTATAAGAAGGAATACAATTACAAACAAAAATGTTTCATATAAGTTATATTCACTTATTGGGAAGACTTAGTAGTAGAACAATAAAAATGTCGATTTAGTTACTATCGGAAGTTAATTGAAAAATTTACTTTATAGCATAAAATTTAATTATTTATTTTAACACATAGATATTGGTACAAGGAGGCACCAAACACATATGCACCATACAAATCTCATTTGATATGTGTGAGGGCTGTGATGCTGACCGGGTGCCCAGACCGAAGCAGGTGGTTTTCTTAGGGAGCCACAACCGGAGCCTTCGACCTGAAGGTCTGATCCACAAAGCCGTGGAGCAACGTCAGAAGATGCAGTCTCATGGTAGCTGTTGAAAAACGATTGCTTCATATGCCATTTGTTCCTTCAGGACCTTGGAGCCCATGTGCACTATTGCTTTGGAACCAGAGTTTTCCAACTCTCCGTGTTCACCAACCCGGTTAAAGCGCCGATCATTCGCTTTTCGTCCTCTCAATTTCGTAAACAACACCCTTGTCACGAGAAGGCAGTGAGTATGACTTCCCTGTCAGAAGCTGTATACGTGTGGACATGTGAGGGCATTTTGAGAGGGAGAACAAACTCTCTCCACTTTCAGCTGTACCAGGGCATTTGGGGGCAAAGCATAAAATAGTTTGAAGACATGATAGATTCTACTTTTTAAAGAGAAATTTTAAACAAAACATTCAAAAACGACTCGTTTGATATGTTTATATCATGTTATCTTAATCTGATATATATATTTTTATCAGAAGGGGTTTGTGGAGATTTTACAAATTTTCACAGATTGAAATCATGAGTCAGTTGAAGCTAGACCACCATTGAAAACCTGGAATCACTGGACGGCCGTTTCGTCCTAGTATGGGACTCCTCAGCAGTGCGCATCCACGATCCCGCACCCCGCGGGATTCGAACCCAGGACATACTGGCTTCGCGCGCGAGCACTTAACCATTAGACCACTGAGCTGGCACCCAACGGTGTTAATGTGTAACTTCAACCAATCCACGAAGTTGCGCCACCATATACCATTGTCTTCAGTGAGCTGATATCTCACAACAGACCTGGTTGTACTCCACTGGTAACGGCTTCCCACTAGAACTCCAGGAGCTTCAACTGACTCATGATTTCAATCTGTGAAAATATATATTTTTAGTTAATGTTATTAAATATTCCAATGTGCAGTTGTAATTATAGAGGATACATACGTAGATATATATAAAGTAATGAAATAAATAGTTTGTGTCCCTATCAAGACTTAACTTGATAATTAAAAAAAAAATAAATCAAGCATTAAAAATGATATGAATATATATTTACGATCTTCTATGGAAAGAAAAATTAGATTTCTGCCGTTTTGAGATCATTTCATTGAAAAGTCGCCTGACTGTAGAATAAACTAAATATTTCATATGAATAAAAAAACGAATTTATAATTAATGTATAACTGAATCAGTGTACTACGTGAACTATGTTAAGTCTCTAATAATGAGAATATTATACAATATAAATTGTGAGGACGGTCCATGTGAAAACTCGAGGAATTTCTAAGAAGCTTAGAAAGAGCCGAAGATATTTTATCTAATCATCTTTTGGAAGAATATTCCAGAATCACTACATGTAGTTTCCCTATTGGACAATGCTAATAACCTCCTATATGTGGATTGGATAACTATAACGATGGTTTCGTTTTTATTAAAAACTATAAATACCTGAGAGTTTTGTACCATAATTGACACTATTTGGAATAACATTCCTTTCACTTGTCTTCTGTCTTCTCATTTACGACTTGGGAGGGTTCTAGTGTTCGAGTGCTTAATTCCAACGCGACATATCAAGAATATAAGCTCTAGGTATAACATAATTTAGATTGGATTTAATAAAATAAATGATTATACACTACCTTAATTTTTAACAAATAATTACACGAATAATAATTCAATATCTTAATAAATTACTATTTTCGAATGACTGGTGCATTTTTTTTATTTTCAAAAACAGTTTAATTAGTTTCTAAATCAATATAATATCCTCTCTCTCCCTCTCAATCTCTCTATATATTCCTAGGTAAAAGTGGGAATACTGTTTTCTTTTAAATATCTTTTAGTTCGTTTCCTAACCCTTAAAATGTTTACATTATTATCAACTAAAAACAATTACTTTATCATGATTTTATGAATGAGTTTATGATATTAATTTGGAATAATTCTTTTAATCAGAAAAGTGCTTTATTATTCATTATTGCTTATAGTAACACTTACTAATCATAGACATCTTATCTATTCATGTGTAATGGATGTTTTGTGACAAACATTAAAGAAGAAAACAGAATTTTTTGGTTAAGGTTTTGAAAAATTCAAGACATAATTTTATAGATTTTATTGACATTTATAAAATTAAGTTGTCTTGGATCGTTTATAATCAGTGACTAGTAGTATAGTTCGTTGGTAAATGAGTAATTTTTAAATCCTTATTAATTGATTAACATAATACTAGTTTTGATAGTTTTTTTACCATTTTAGCTTTGATAAGGAGGAAGTTCTGAGATTAATTATATTTTTTTAATAGGTATATATTATAGTAATTTTATTAGGTGAGATCATAAGCCATTTGAAGCTAGACCATTATGGAAAACCTGGGAGCACTGAAAGGCCATTTCGTCCTATTGTGGGACTACTATTTGAAAGAAGAATATTCTTTTCGATAAATTCTCTTCAGATTTTACAAATATATTTTCAAATTAATAATCCAAAAATTGGTCATGTTTAAGGGTGAAGTGTATCGTTTAAAGCATGTGAATTTAGGATTGTCAAACAAAATAGAATAAAATTGTTACTGTTGATATGAACCATATAGAATGTTAACTTGAATCTGTATATATGCTAAGTGAAAATTTAAGATTCATGATCAGAATAAATATGGGTCAGATAGGATGAGAGAAATAATAGTGCAATTACAATCCGAACAAATGTTTAATGGAAGACTATATCGTGTGAAAAATTAGTAAGACGTTATAAGGAGGGATGAATGCAAAGTGAATGACCCATGTTATTGGGGAGATTAATAATGATATTTAACCAATAATAATAATACAAAGATTTGTGAATAAACATAACAGAGAAAATTACATGTGACTACGAAAGGTCGTAAGCACAATAGTCAAATTAGGTAATTCGATAGCTAAGATTACTATTGATTAATTGCCCTTGAGGCTGACCAGGAGAGGAGAAGTGGTTGAAGATATTTCTTTTGTACCCATAGCTCCGGTTTCCTCATCCGGTTGGCTATTACTTCATCCGTTTGAAGGACTTTAAGTTTGACAAGCTTTTGCAAAAAATTACTGACCCCAAAAATAATTGAAAACGATTGGTTTATACTGGCACAATGATCAGTTTGCACTAAATAGGCCAATATCGAGCTGTTCACTTTCTTCACCAAACCTATATATTTCACCAAAAACTTTCCGATTTTTGCAAGTAATTTTGTTCCAAATCTACTGTAAGATGTCTTATTAAGTATACTTTTCAAATTATGTATAGAACAGAAGAAATTCATATGGGTGATAAAAAAAGTGTCCCTTGAATAATTTATTTGTGGGTCGTATTTACAATTAGTTTTTTTCCTAAGTGTGTTTTTATATTAATGGTTGTAGATGAAATATAAGACAAGACCATTTAAAGACGGGATAACTTTGGATTTAAATGTATTTCTACTGTACTTTTTTACCTTGGATTATTATCGAAATTAGATTGCTATGTAAACTGCTCACGGTTTTATTGTCGTAATGATATTGATAATGGTTTAATTAACAATAGTGCATGTTAATCTCCTCAGAGAATAAAACTTTAAAGTACTTAATAATAAACTGGGTGTCTAATTGGAAATTTATGATTGGGAAAAATGAGTACCATAATTGCTTTTAGCGAATTTAATCCTTATGTGTTTTTCATCATTTCTGCAGCCAAAATATCTCACTTTTCAAATAAATTACTTTCTTCGAAACTTATTTGTGTTAAGAAGTAAAATACTCTTGTCATCTTCAATAATGACAAAAAAACCCAACAAATCTCAATGCTGAATGTTCACTCACTTTCTGTATTCTCATTCAAATTGCAGGAGATGCCAAAATGATTATATCGGACTCATTATCAAACCACCAGGTTTTACTCAACCGAATTAAACGTTACCGACGTGATGTTGTACACAATGCAACTACTTATGTTCACTCCACATCTGCTTACAAAAGTGAGAAACACTATAACAATAATGGCATCCATGAGGTCATTGTGCTAGCTGAATTCCTTATGCCTGAAAACATCAAATTTACAGATCGTTTGGTTACACTTGAGAATGTATTCAGCGACTGCAAATTAGCCAATTATGAGACTGCATTAACTTTTCAACAAAGTACTGGACAAGATAGAGCGAATTGTAATGATCATTCAGATGTTATTGATCTACTGTCACCAGTTGATGGTGTGCTTATTGATTGGGAGCATATGGATGGAATAACAGTGAGTGAATTTTGGAAGTTATTCGAAACTGTGTTATTAAATGATACGCTTAACGATGATCTGTTAGTGAATAGTCTAAAGAATATTGAGACTACTCCATATGGTGATTCATGGAAATCATTATATTATGAAGGTGACGGTAAAAAATCATCTACTCGATCATATCCAGCCGGCAGAGAGGTGAAACATGATAGATACTTTCAGAAGCAAACATATTCACTCGATGGTGCATCAAGGAAACGGATATTGTTTAAACAGTTCAATTCAGCGGAAATAAATTCGTTTAACTGGACCAATTTTATTATCGCATTGAACTTCTGTTACTTAATGATTACGAACTTTTATATATGAGTTGATATATTCTTTAACCAGAAATGTCAACTGTTCTGTAGTTTAAAAAGAAAATATTATTAACCCGAGATTTACTTTATTTTCTAAGCCTTTATAATTTTGAACCACAAGGCTACAAGTGTTGATGTAAGTGTACTAACATCTTGTAACGACATAAGCCAACAAACTATTTTACACTTTATAAATGATTCTCACTGTAATTAATCCTTAATTCGAACATGTTACATTACTTTATTCTACTTTGAGAAAAACTTTATTCTTTGAAGACATCACACATGATTTCCATTTTTATTACCATCTAAATATATATGTTCATAATATTTTTCATGTCTTGTAAACAAGCGTTCACTTATTTCATAGTGAATATGCATATGTCATAAATAACTGATAAAATAAATCATTCTATCAAATGTTCAGTGGCGAATTTATAATTTTATTTATTTGAACACATAAATAGTGGTAGGAAGGGGCATCGAATACATATGTGCCATAAAAGTCGCTTGATTTTTGTGTGGCCTGCGATGCTGCTCAAGTGTCCAGACCAAAGCAGGTGGTTTTCTTAGGGAGCCACACCCAGAGCCTTTGACCTAAAAGTCTGATCCACAAAGCAGTGTAGCAACGTCAGGGGCTGCAGTCCCATAGTAGCTGGTGACCAACGATTGGTTCATACGCCATTTGTTCCTTCAGGACCTTGGAGCCCATGTGCACTATTGCTTTGGAACCAGAGTTTTCCAACTCCCCTAGGTGAACTCTCCATGTTCACCAACCCGGTTAAATCGCCGGATATTCACTTTTCATTTTCTCGAGTTCGTAAACAACACCCTTGTCACGAGAAGGCAGTGAGTATGACTTCCCTGTCAGAGGCTATATACGTGTGGCCATGTGAGAGCATTTTGAGAGGGCGAGCGGACACTTCACCCTCGGCCGTACCAGGGCATTTGGGGGCAGCCTATTTATAAGCGGACATGACAATTTTTGTTATGCTATGTTATCTACCTTCATAATTTTCAATCAGCTTAATTATAGTGAATTCAATTTAGTAAATATTACAGTCAACTAAACCAATATTATTACTGAATTAATCCGCTTACATTTTAAGGGAGATAAATCTGAAATAGATAAATAAATAAACAAGTAAATATACACATATTTTTGTTTAATTATATTAGTCGAAATTAGTAGAAGTAATGTTTATGTCAATGTACACAACACAATCCATTTTTTAGCCTGTCGATTAAATAAATTAATTTCATAATTGATGAAAAGATTTCTTAACAAGATTCTTACTGTAATCATTTCATACATTATTAGAAAAAAACATTTAAGCTCTCATGTGCGAGACCGATAGGTTCCGGGTTCGAATCTCGCTAAGCGGGATCGTGGATGAGCACCGTTGAAGTGTCCCACAATAGAGCAAAATGGCCGTCCAGGGCTTCCAGGTTTTCCATAGTAGTCTAGCCTCAAAAGACTAATGAATTTAACTGCTAAATTACTCAGTTCTCCACAAAATCCCTTCTGATATATATATATATATATATAAGTTAAAAAGACCTAACTACAAAGTATTGGTTTATTTATAATGTTTACGCTATATACAAAGTAGATTGCATAATAAAACAATGATTTTTTCACAAGTTCAGTTATGAATAGTTAGCTAAATATTTTAATCAAATACTTAATTAACCATCAACAGTAACTTTTTCTATTGAAGAGATATCATTATTATTTGTAATAATCTTGTTAGTACTTAAATAATAATGGATGATAGTAGTTGACATGTTGTAATTACGGTCAGATTTTTCAGTCACGTAATCTATTTTCTATTTGCTTATTAATGATAATTGTTTGAAGGAGTATATTTGATTATGTCGTAAAATATTTGACATAAACGTTTTATTCACCGAGATATTAAATGTTTATTCTTAATAATTTCTTTTACATTAGTTTAAAGTTGAATAGAGGAGAGAAATCATAAATGATTGCTGATAGTATAGAATTATTCCTGATCAGATGTAAGCCATATTCCAACCTAATCTCTGAATTTAAAAATGAGTTTGTGCGATTAACTGAAGTTCTCTAAGGAACTATTAATATCAGGGAGGTTTAAAAAAGTGTTCAATCAAAGCAATGTGCTTACGTGACACTGAAAAAGAACAAATTCGGAATGATCGAAACAAAAGAGTAAAAATATACTTTAGAAGTAAATTTTCCTAATTATATTTGTGAACATTCGACTGAAAAATAACTATAATCGTCTCTTGTATAAAATTTGAGGAAAATAGGAGTAATCTTTTCAGAAAAGTAAGGATCGTTAAAAGTGTTGTACATAAGTTGTTTTGAAGGGGTATTGGAATGTAAAGGTCAAGTGATTGATAATAATTATTTTTTTAAAATGTATTATACTAAAAAGATTACAAGTCCTACTTATAGCTACTTTAAAGTAAATTTCTAGATTTTCACTACCTATAGTATTATTACAGTGACTTGCGATCGTAAAACTGATCATATAGTTTGTAGTCATGAAGTGTCTTGACAAGATAACTAGTAAAGTAAGCATAGTATTGATTCAGGGGTTAAAGGTCAGTTTATTAATATTTTACAAAACATCAAGTTGTTTCTAGATCAAAGTACAAACTAATATCCAGCTTAGAATATAGACTAGTTGAAAAGGATTTATTTGGCAAACCAATGATCTACTGGCTTAGTGGTTGCACTTAAATTACATTTTGAAATGAAACTTAAGGTGTAGAATAATGGTTAAAAAGTTTACACTTTTGTTTTCCATCATTTTCAACTCGTACAAATATACTATTTCTCTACATAAAGTAATCTAACTTAACTAAGAATCATTTATTCCCGAGATGATCAAAGTTAAGATTCACTGGTTACAGAAGGTGATTTGTCTTTCTCTGTGTTTGCTTCAAAAAACATATTGAGCTTGTTTATAGAGAATTCATAAATTTATCGGATGGTCACATTTATTTCCTGTTACGTAGTTCAAGGCGTTTTTGACTGTTGACATATATATTTGTTTCCTCAGTGTGTTGTGCAATGACACCAAGAGTTTCTAGAGTTAAAAAGAATAGATCATTAGATCAAGCTTTGGATATGTTTTTCACCTCATAGTGATAGTGGAATAATACAGTTTCACCATACACCAGATAGACGTATGTTAACCCCTGCCAAAATGAATTTAAACTCGAAGGTCGATTACCTTAGTGTGAATGTTTCCACTGATCTTTCTTGGTCTTCTCATGTTTTATTGCTATCGAAGGAAGTTTTCCGACTGACTTACTACATAAAGAGGCTGCATGCTTCTGGGATTACTCGGTACTTACTCTTATGATTTGTTGATCCTTGCATATTACCTATTAATTTTTACTGTTCTCCATTATTCTTCCCTGGGATTTTGAGAAAGGACTTTGCTGTATTGCGGAGAGTGCTAAAGATAGTTAGCAGAGTGTGTGGTGAATCTTTTCAAATCATTATTAATTTGGTTGTGGATAGACATCTAAAATCATGCAAACTCCTGGCAGGTGTAATCTTATCAGATAATAACAATCTACTTCATTTACATCTTCCTCCTTGTATATCTTCAGGTAGAACAAGACATCAATACATTCGAATCCATGCATGAAATCAAAGGTATAAAAACTCTACAATACCTTATCTAGCAAAAAACAAGTTGTTAAAGTGGATATAGTCAATAACTTGCATTTTTAAATATGTTTCTGATTGGAAAAGTTGTACTCATTTTCTTTTTTTTTTGAGACAGAAAACTAGTTGAAATATTTTGTGCTGAGAATTCTGTATTGTACCAAAAGTATAATATTAAATAAAGCCACTAGTAATAATAATACCCATTACAAAAGTGAATGACTATCTGAACTCAGTAGCTAAGTTGATAATAAGATGGCGTTTGGAGTAAAAAGTACTGGGTTTGAGTCCTAGAATGAATATTAACTGTAGGATTCAAGTGTGTCCAGATGACGAATCCCAAACATTTGTCCTAAATTCCATAGCTATCAACATCCCAACTATTTTATCTTAGGTTGAGTAAATGTATTTGAAGCGAAGTATCTTCTGTCTAGTAACATATAAATATACTTTAATACTTTAAAAAAATGTAAACTGATTAATAGGCCTTATTGAATGTATAATTATTTCAACTCAAACGTTGACATTTTTCATAACCAAGGAGAGGGTTTAAAGACTTTTTTTTCTTAGCCATAAAATCTATCAGAAGACAGATTTCAAAATCAACATTATTGTAATCACTTTATATAAATTGTTGTCTATTGAGTTGCATGAAACAAGTATAACGTTAAATTATTGTTTATTGATTAGCAACGGATTAGTGAAAGTAAGTATAGTCCAAGAGTACTTTAGTGGATTTATTAATAGGAAAGGCTTTTTTAAGAATTTATTAGTCCTCTTGTGTAACATTGTTACAAGGTTCCATGATAATATTAGATGAACTATTGGTGTGAGTCGCAGCAGTTTGATTTCGAAGGACTACTGTGAAGAAATAAATAAACATAACGAGTAAATGAAAATTTCTTGAAATTAATATTTATCAAAATTCTACCATAGAACAAAGCTGTGAAGTAAAATAAGTAATTTTAAACTGATCTTAGTGTTTAGGATGAATAATTTGGAACCAAAAACAAAAAGCTATTTTATTCCTGAAGACTCTTTTGCGTAATTGCAAACCCTAAAAAATAACTTAATCATTTTTTAACCCGTGGTAACAATACTGCTATTTACTAAAAGCGCACTCATGTTGTAAACTTTTAGCTTTTAATATGAAATCAAGTGATACTACTCAGTTATGTAAAACGAAATAGATGAAGAGCAGTTTAGAGCTGCAACTGGTTGGTTGGAAGGAAGTGACATTAACCGCTAAGTTCATGTATATATATCAGCTATCAACAGGGTTCCTATACAACAATTAATTGTTAGTAAATAGTGACGTCAACTGGAATTTTAAGATATTGATTTATCCATTAGTCGGTTGATGACAGATAACAAATTCTAGTGTATATCAACTCGGAAAAATTTTAAGGGAGAATTCAGAGTAGTTAACTACTCATTCTTAGCAAGATACAAATATATAGACTATGAGGCATACTTTTGGCGATTAACTAACTCGCAGAAATCGATTACTATTTTATAGATTGTATTTTATTTCAATGTTCAAACAAGCTTTTTACACCACATTAGTGTAAACTACTTTGCGTATTATAATTACTTACGATTGCACAGCATTTTAAAGGTCTATTATAGAAACATTTAATTTTCAATTATGAACAAATGTTATCTGCTGAGCTTAAATAAAAAATAAAAATAAATGAAGACTACAAGATTAACTCAGCGAGTTGTGCAAATTAAAACTTAGTTGAATAT